TTCAAAAAATCAAGGTTAACATGATTAGTTTCCGAAATATTTGAAAAAAAACGAAATTTTGTATCATTTCAACCTTGTTTAAGATGATATTGAAAAAAGAAGGCGACTTCCTCATGGCAACTTTTTGCCCTCTATCGAATGGCATAATCAATTTTTATATGTAACGTTTCGTCTCTCCAGGACCATCATGAACTTCATTTTTTTTAATAGGTATGGCCCTGGAAATTTTATTACATTTTTTGCAAGCCTTTATTGTGCCCAATACTGTACTGCCTCAGCCCAAACCAGATTCAGACGTTTTGTCTCGAAAAAATCATCTTCAATGTATTCGTTCCAAAATCTAATTCTTTTTTTAGATTTCTGTTTATTGAATTATCGTACATTCTAAGTGTCGTTATACCCTGCGAAATCCATCTAGTTATTTAAACTATTACCATTACACGTTACAATAAAACATTATTTTATCTCTGTGCGTGCCAAAATTAAAAAAAAATAATCAACATGTCTAAGCCGCTGGTTTGAGTTGAGACTTAATTTTTTTAACGCTGTGAACTATTTTATTAATGTATTTTACACCAAAATTTCATTTCAATGTCTTCATTTGTTCAGAAGAAATTTAGATATATTTTCTAAACTTCAACATCTTATATTGCAAACATTGAATGCTTCAGGGGAAATGTTTATATATAGAATATATACAAGGAACTGTAAATTTGTTTCACAATCAGTTAAAAATAACGATACTACTATGACATTTTTTAAAATATTTATTCATTCGCAAAAATTACTGTTGTTAAATTTTCATATTTTCATAAAATTTTGACGAAAGTCAGGAGACCTGCAATTTTTCTCTAGATTCCATTAGAACACAGATTGTTGTGGCACGAATAAATAAAAAAATAACATACAATTTTCAAGGTCACGTTTAAGAAAGATGCAAATGATGTTAGAAATAATTTTACAAATAAAAGCATAGTTTCTTTAAGAAAAATAGTATAATTATGAAATTTGATAGCAAACATTTCGAAGACTCCAAAATTATTATTTTTATTATTAATTTGGTCGTGCTGTTAACATGCTTTACTATGTTTACATATTCGTTTAGTTCATGTTTATTTGTTATTATTATTGTATGTCGACCTTTTTTAAATTCAGCTCTTTAGAAACTTCGCATTTCCGGACTATTGTTTAAACTTTTTTGTTTATTTTTACTTAAGGAATGCCCCCTTAAAGTATATACACTTCCTCGTGACACACTCTATAAAAAATATTCTTAGATTTGGATCAGAAAAAACTGCGTTATTTTTTATACACTGATAATAACTTTTATTATCTTTTTAGCAAATGAATTAATATTGAATATCTCAGATTGGTCAATAGAAAATATAAAACATAAATCAACACAAGTACAGTAAATATTACAAATGCAGTAAATATAAGCAAACAGTAAAATTAAGTTTATAATCATCTACTATTTAACACAACATTTTAACTATTTATAACAATCTACTATTATATGACGTATTACCTATTGTCTTAATTATATATTTTTTTATGATATGAAAACTTGATGGGTCATGGTAGAATTAGGTATCCCAAAAACATAATCCGTATCAGATTCTTGAATCAACGTCTTCCTAATAGTTTTCAGAATTAAATTTTCAGAGAAGTTTTTATGATTTTGATACGAAATATGATGGAATTTATTGTGGATATAAAACTATATGATATCGGTCGAATTTCTTTTCATCTGGGAATTATTACATAATTTCTTATTATTATGTGACTTGAACCGACATTTGAAACCATACCCTCACATTGTCTGCTGTTTGTTTCTGTAATGGAACCAAATACCCAGCTCCTTGTTTTACGCGGGTCAGTATTCATTTTATCATTACATATTGGTTTTAACAATTCATCACTTTTATTTGATAGAATTGTAAATATGGCATCAGTATAGGGGATAAAGAAGTATTTTTGTCATTCATAAAAAACAGAGATAACATTAATATAGATCCTTGTGGAACACCTGTGCTGATTTTGGTTATTTCTGAAAAAAATATATATTTTCTGCAGATTTAAGGCCACCATAATTAAAAGAAATGCATTGTTTTCTTTTGAAATTAAAAATATCCACCTAATCTAAGGTATACCATAAAATTTTGTCTAATAGTTTATTATAGTAAATATATCTACAAGGTGTTTAGTTAACTTTAACCACAAATAGAACTCAATAAATAGGTAAATCAGAACTGCCTTATAAAAAGCAGTAGTTTTCACTGTACACTATACATCAGAAGAACGGTTTCCCATTCAACTGAGATTTTCGGTGAAACGATACACTATACCGATTTTCAATAAGTATACCTTTTTTTATGTAGAATGGGGTGATTCAATAAATTTTAAAAAACGTTCTTGTATACACATGATTAGGCGATCCTGAAAATTTCAACTTAATTCGTTGAGCGGTTCAAACTATAGGATTTTTAAAATGCGAATATTTGTTTCAGCCGTGGTAATGTTATGACGTCACCGCATGGGACGGTCAGTCGACTTGGCGCTACTTCCAGATGAGTTTCTGCATCTACACAATGTTGTAGCGTTTATGCATATTAAATTTAAAAAATGGAAACAAATTTCGTAAAAGCAGATTTTTCTAATTTGCCAGAAGTAGGTTTGTTTATGGTTATGGATTATTTTAATAAGAACCATGACTTTATCAGTGCATGAGATGAGAGGAGTGAAAATGCAAAGGTTACGTTTCAATAACGTATAAAACTTCTTTAAAGTACGTTTGTAGCGAAAGTTTTGATGTTTTTGTACAATAAGAATAGTAAATAAGAATAAGGATTTTATGTTCAATTGGACTAAACCGTTTCTGTCAGGTTTCAAAGATTTACCTAACCAAATACAAAATTCTTATTACTATTTTTATTCTCATGGAAACTACATAGAATATACCTAATAAAATCTTATAAATATTGTAATAATATAATATTTATTATGTATTTTTACTTATATTTAGTACCTATAGGTAATTGTATAATATTCACAAAAAAATCAACAATGGAAAACACAAGTTTATAGTGTTTCTAGAGGATACACGATACAAACGTATTTATAACATACCTAAATTACGCAGGGTAGTTTCGTTGCTTTCAGAATAAGTCATTTTTCAAATAAACTATATTAAAAAAAAACAAATCAAAGTAGAGACTAGTAGACTATTGATTTTAGATTTGCACGACAGAATTACGGAGACGTTATTATTTTTTTAGGCGTCTTCATACTAGTGCTTTAACATTGGGGAACAATACAATATTTGTAATTTCTTTCTGTTCTGTGTCTTCCATATTGCTAACAAAATTCGGTATGTCAACGTACTCGATCGAGGCAACTAAAATCCGACTACCCGACTGACTGGCAACACACGTACCTAAGCATGCGGCATCGGTTTCCCATGCGGTGACGTCAAACCCTCCGGTTTAGCGGATACTCAGCGAGCCAGTATATGATTTTTTTGGGATGACTTGTAGGCGACATAAAATTCTAATTTTTTGCAGAAAATTCTAAAATTAAAATATTTTTTCGTTAAGCAAATAAAAAAAAATGTCGAATGAGCCCATTGTCAATGGAATCTAAAAATTAATCCCAACTGATTATTAGGTCATTGGCGTAGAAGTTGGGGTAAAAATTTATTGCAAAATTAAAAGCAAAAAGTGCTTCTTCTTTAATTGTTAATAACTTCTTAAACAATTAATAAAATCTTACTAAACTTTCCCAAAACGTGAGTTTTTATATCCTTAAGAGATGTGCAAAAGATGGGCTCGATCGGCCAAATAGTTTTTGGAAAATTCCATTTATTTATCCCATTTTTGCAAAAAGGCCCATTTTCAAATGACTATTCCGGGGGCAGGGTTATGACTAAAACATTCTTTTTGAGCTCATTTTCTTCGAAGGGACACCAAGTATCCTCTAGTTAAAAAAAATAATTTTTTTTTCAAATTTAGTTGTATACAATTGGTTACAAATAAAAGGCACTTTTTTCCCTAATAAACAAATAAAATAACTCCGCGGTTTTTAACTTTTGAGAGAAGTTATATACACCATTCGAAAGCTCGTAAAAAAACCTACAAATTGAAAAAAAAAAGTTTCTACGACCAATAGGTCCGGAGTCGGCAATTTTTTTTTAATCACAGAGCAATTTGTTATAAACAATAAGACCTGAAATTTTAACATTTTGTAAATAAAGGTATAAACTTTATTATGTTAATTTTAATTGAATTTGCCCATAATTGATCAATCGAGAGCCCGTCAAAGTAGGGTACACGGCACTAGCCCTTCAGGGAGTGATGGTGGGGGGACCTTCCTCTCAACCAGGAAAAAACTGACAATGAAAAATTTGTAATATTTCAGTTTCTATGTAACGTAGAACCTTCTTTTTTTAATTTGGGGTAGCTCGACGAAAAAATTACTTCTGGATTATTTCTACCCTTGTGAAACCACCCCCTACCCCCTAAAATTGAATTTTTTGAAAAAACTTTTTTTGGATTTTTTTTTATTTGAAATGTTTTAGACAATAGTTCCCACTAAAAAAATGTTGTCAAAATTATTTTAACCCTTCAAAATTAATTTCAATATGCCGTGTCCTGCTTATTTTGAGCGCAGGACACGGTATATTGGGAAATACAGGGTGTATTTAAACATATTCTTAGGTTTCCTTTTGGATAATTATTTGTTACTAGTTACTATTAGTTACTACTTCATTTATAAAAATTTTTCGGAACAAAAGACAAAATTCCAGTAAACCAGAACCAGCGAATACTTTGAGAGTTAGTGGAACACCCATCGTATAACACCCTGTATTTCCTACTCCCGAAAAATCAGTGCGCACCAAGTCGCCGCAAATTCCTGCTATGTGGAGTACGTGAGGCGGCGAGCTTTCCTCGCCTCATCCACCAAGACATGGTAAGTGGCTATTTAGGTAGCCGACGAGCACGTGGGGGACCTTCGTCGGCCGGTCAATGTAAGCGCGTTCTTCCGCGGACTGGCCTCGCGCTTCGAGGTTGCACTTCGATATATAACTCAACGCGGGCCAATCGCCCCGCATCTGTCTCCTCAACCACTCGGTGGTGTCTAGTGTACTCCAGTGTGCCCCAGAACCCGACAACTCCCAGCCAACATGAAATTCGTAAGTGTGCGCGCACTCTGGAACACCGCGAGCAAATTAGCGCGAACTCCCGGGGATAGAACCACTCCTGCAAATTTTAGGACGCCAAAAATGTGAAATGGTGCTCGGGAACACCAAAATTTTGACACTAATTATGTAATCCGCGTTTTCTTTGAATTTTAATCCACCAAAAGTGTAAATTAGTGCACTGTAACAGTTTACATATAAAAATTCACACTAAAAATGTAATTTTACACAAACGGTCCCGCAGAAGAATGATTCTATCACCGGAGCTATTCTTAGTTAAATACTGGCATTCTTATTATTGAGTGCAAGTGCATTGTAGTCAGTGATCATGATGAGTTCAGTGAAAAGTGATTATCTGGTTAGCTTTCTTCATTTGTGCCAGTTCGTTTAAGAGGATATTTTGTTTGGATTACTTCTCTCTTTCTTAACTGGCGGTAACAGCTCTGATTTAAGTCTGTATATATTGTACATATCGGTTTGGGGGTAGATTTATAAAAATTTCGAGGAAAAATTTGTTAAAAATGGTCAATAGAATGTGTAGTTAAAAAAAATTATTCAAAAGTGGTTTATATAGGATCATATTGGACAAGAAAAATGAATTCCTAAAATACATTCGTGTAAATTCAGTAAGGGGTTAAAAAAATTATACTGGTGTTGCTCAAAAGGTCAATGATGCATTTTTTAACAGCATCAAATAAAGGCAAATAATTTTACAGATGCATTTATAATTTCGGACAAAAATATTTCCACTTTTTTTATTCGTTGAAGAAAGTCTAATATCCTACGACAAAAACAGTTTGGGGCAAAACGATCACAATTTGTTTGTGTACAGCTAACATTTGTCTGTTTTCTTTGATAAAAAAAGTTAATTGACTGCTGCGTATTATTTGCTCTGACTGAATTACCTTCGTTGACTGTGAGCGCGCTGCGAGCAAAAATTAATAATTATTTCATGCTCATTCGAACGATTTTCGACTTTCTCTATCAATTTGCAAAAAAGTTGATAATAATAGTCATTTGTTGCAAAATATATTTAAAGCACGTAACTATTAAATGCTTTCTTGTTGCGGATGAGAAAAATAAGGCAAATGTTAACAATAATTCCACCAACGGACCAATTAAAATCGAGCAACAAACTCATTTCACTAGGATGAACACGAATTAATAGTTTTTTCATCAAAAAACAAATAGAAAGTATACGCAATTAATAGTTTAAATTTTTAAAATGCATTCAAGGGATAAATTTCGTAACGTAAATTCAGATTTTTTGGTAAAAGCTCAATCTTTCGTTGAACATAGTAATCAACTTTACTGAAAATTTCTATCATTAATTTTTTAAATAAATATAGACAATTATTTAACTTCTGTTAAAATACGAGAGTTATAGGTTATAGATGTAAAATGTTTTAATATTTTAGGTAAAGCTCAGCTAGGACAATCGATTTTTTAAATTGCTTCAATAATATTCCATAATTCTGCAGACAGTATTATTTAAAAACCCCTGTGCGATATCTTTTTAAAGAATATTCTTTTACGTGTTTAAGAATTGTTAGAAACTGGGAGTAATATTAAATTAACAATAGTCGGGTAAAACATTGACGACCAGAACAACTAACATTAATGCCTGAACTCGTAGAAAATCATCTGCCGTAAACTGCTTAAGTTGCAAGACACGGTCTGTTAGATGGGTTTGATTTACTTTCACTATATAAGTGCAAATATCGTTCTCTAATTATAATTTGCAAACGTTTAAACTATTCGGAAAACTCGATTTTTACTGTAAAACCACCACGGGATAAATAGGAAGTAGCGTTCTTGTTTGTTTTTCGAAATTGACGACTAATGCACAATTAGTCGTGGTAAATATTGGAAAATGAACCGTTCAATAGTTGTGGATTTAATTAGCAAAGTTACGGGCTTGATTGGGAATTAATTTGGCAGTTTTCATTTCTGTAAAGGACCGTGTCCAAAGTGAATAATGATTGAATATTAGTTTAGTTGTCCTTGAAGGTATTTTTTGAATTATTTCTTTATCGGCGACAGGCGCAAGTCACATTATTTCTTAGATATGCTGCCGATAATAACATAGCATTTTATTGTTTAAGTAAAAAAATCTGCAAAATACTATTTTTTATAATAAAATTGTTAAATTTAGCATAGACCAATACAATAATTTGTTCTGTTTTAATGTTAAATATTAAAATATATTGGTCGGTGCAGGTTTCAAAGAAAAAGTTGTATTTGAAGCGCATGTTAAAAATTATTTTATTTTATTCAAACGAAATGCATAAATATTGTAATTTTTCTACAGACAAAGGGGTTATGAAATATGTAGTTACCAAACGCAATAAAAAAGTGGATAAGTATCTTCATATACCTGTCAGATTACTTGTACATACAAATTTACACCTACGATCTAAAATTACCATACGTAATAATAGGCTAAAGTTGAAAACACTAGTAATTATTGATACATAGTTGAATAACGTGTAATATTGAGTATTATAAGCAAACACTCACGAGCAAAACGAACAAAGTTAATTTGAAGTCATTGATTTCGCTTAATTTGTTTCTTACTTGACACACATCATGAATGAAGAGAGTCACCAAAGTGGCTTTATTAACTGACAGCCAAATTTATTTTTGATACCATGAGGAAGCTAAAATAGTTTGAACGAAACGTCTCCATCAGTTTCTAATAATCTGCATCAGAAATTCTATCTTCTAATCCTCACTTTTAATGTTTATAAATTCGACTTGAGGAGTTATTCAAAAGCCAGTTAAAAATCTTATCAAAGAGCACCAAAGTTACTCATTGCATGAATGCTCCAGTAAACAACAAGTGAAGGTAAAAATAATAGAGCACCCGAATTCGTGACAGCGACAGTAGGCAATTTGTGCCTTAATAATATGCCTCGGATATCGAAAACACATAAGGCGTTGGGCAATTCGAAAGCATTCATTCCGAAGTGTATCCTAGTGTGACGGGAACAATTTTTCGGTAAGGGAGAGGTATTAAAAAACGGTTTGCACCATATCCAGGCACGCTCGGTGAGTTGCATAATTAATGTATGAGTATTTGGTAATGTTCAGGTTAAATATGCATCTAATTAATTATTGTTATGTTGAGTAGCTCCTACAAGTCGGTTTGTTAGATTTATGGAGTGCGGATTATAAAACTGTTCTCACTTTTCAACTTGCGAAAGAAATATACCTAACGGTATAAGAAAAGTTGACTATTTTTTGGAGGTAGATGCAATTTGAACAACTTTTTTTGACAGGAAATTTAGTACAGGGTGAGTTAAACTGGATAGTATGGGCCTACTGTGAGGATACAAAAAATTTAAATAAAATTTGGGACACGTGGTGTTAAACGGAATGAGGTAAACTCAATAATTTTCAATCGAAAGTATTATCTTTGGAATTTGACAGAAATGACTAATGACGTCATCTATTACAATTTTTCCAGAAACTTATCCAATTTTTTCCTGTTAAAAGGCTCTCTTTTTTGTAATAAATTTTTATTAGAGAAATTTTTCTGTATTACTTCCCATTTAAAAGTTTAAGCAATATCGTACTAAAAAGTCTCAAAAGAAATATCACCTAAAAATCACATTAACGGTGGAATGATCAAGTAGTCGCTGGAAAATAATTGAATGTTTGTTGTTTAAATTGCATAAATGTCATTAAGGATTAAACTCGATAATTCTTTAATATAATTCAAACAAAAGGTGATGATAATAATAACTAAACTTAAAAAATGAGGCAAACGCTTTCATACTACATGCATATTACAATCTATTCTCTACAGGGTGATTCAGAACTTATCCAAAAAAAAATTCTGGATGTACAGGGGACCCTTACAAATACAATTTTGTAAAGAAAAAAATCAAAAAGGTCAGTTCGAAATTGATTTAAAAATACACTTCTGCACGGCACTAGAAACTGATCCACTGTAAAACCTGACCTCCCACAATGCGACCGGTATAGCGGCGTGATAAAAACGGACAAAAACTTTCGCAAGGAAAGAAATATGTAAATAGAATTTTATCGCACCTATTTTATATCGGCAAATTCAAATGCTTTTGCCTTTATTAATAAAATTAATTTGTGTTTTTAAATAATAAAATCATTTGACATACCCGATGCTGTAACAGCAATTGTTCAAAATTTTATCCACTCACGTGTAAACACATTTGGGTCCGTCTTACTCACTTTCTACGAACTAACACAAATGATGTCTTGCTTCACCAAAACACAAATACTTCACCATAATACAAATGTTGTCTTGCTTCACCATAAATTAAAACGATATCCATCAACTCTGAGTTGCTATACACGCAAGCCATTTTTGACACTAACTACTAAAAAACTGATGTAAATACCAAAGATAACAGGTAAAAACTACCGCAACGACGGATTTCAGTATTAGGAGTCACATGGCTCTCCACGTGTAATGGCGCTAGAGGCTACAGTTGTCCAGTTATGTAGTGGTTTAATGTGCTATAACTTCAATAATTTTTTTCTCAGAAACTATAATTGTTATACAAAATTTTTTTTTACAATATTGACTCCATTTCTCATGCGCCTGTATATGAGCTCCTCTCATTCAACACATATCCAATATTCGCTTGACTTTTTTGTGGGCTGCGTTTATTAACATTTCGCCGTTTAATTCATTACAAGCGTTTGTGATTTTTCTTTCAAATGATTAATATCTCGCGAAGGTATTTTGTAAACCTTATTTTTTAAAACTTCCCATAAACAAAATCGAGGGATGTTAGATCTGCTCACTTTCCGGGCCACTGAATAGATGCATTAAGTCCAATCCATTTTCTGGGAAAGTGTCATCTAAATATTGCTGCACAATCCTGTTGTCCAATTAAATGAGCCTTTAAATCGCAATTTGGTCAACTTGCCTGAATTTTTGATATAAGTTAGTTTAGTGCATATAATAACAATAAGTGACAGTAACTTTTGTTTCAACCCTGGCC